CTGGGCCATCCTAGGTGGTCCTAAGTGGTCCTAGGTGGTCCTCTGGCTATGGTCCTGGACCGTCCTAGGTGGCCCTAGAAGCCATCACACGCAGTGAGCAGGGTGGGAACGACCACTCCGGGAGGAAAAAGCCTGAGGACTGAGGTCACCCTGCCCATGAGCCAGCAGGAGGGAGCGAGTGGAGCTGGACAACAGCCCCTGCCCCCCAAATTGTCCCCCAAACTCAACACCGAGGTTCATTTTAGTTGCAACTCTCTCTCTCTCCAGGTGGTAGAGGCTTATAAGCAAGGTCTGAGACCAGCCGTTGGCTATGAGCTCAACCCCTGGCTGCTGTGTCTCTCCAACTACCGGGCCTGGAAGGCTGGGTACCACGGGAAGGTTTCCTTCCTGAAGAAAGATCTGTGGAAGGTAACAGCATCCCGAGGGTCTGGCTGTGCTCAGCGCTGGCCGTAGCTAGGGCAGGGCTCGATCTGCGTCGCAAACCGTTCTGCCATCTCCAGGCAGGCTTTGCCGATGGCTGCTTGCTCCTTCCCCGACCCGTGTTGCTCCCAGGAGGTGGAAGAGCCATCCTCCTTTGCAGCGGAACGCCAGCCTGGGCTGCTGGTTGTGCAGTTGTTCTCAGGGCGAGCTTGGAGAAGAGGTGTTAGGTGCTGCTGAGACGTGGTGGCCTTCAGAGACGCTCTGCTAAAGCTGGCAGCAGGTACCCACAGCCTGAGCGGAGAAAACCCAGCAGGGAACGTGGTTCTGGGACGACGCTGGGGACGGGCGTTTTGCTTTCACGCCCAGCTCCCGGTCACACCAACACATCCCCGTCCCACACAACGTGGGGCGTCTTTGCTTCCTCTGAGGTTCAGAAGATCGCACGCAAAGTCTTTGGCCACTCCAACAGTTCCCCCCCCTCCGCCTGTTGCTTCTTTCATTCCCCTTTTCCTTCTCTTTTAAGGTGAATCTTTCCGATTGCCACAATGTGATCGTGTTCCTGGCCCCCAGCGTGGTAAGTCGGTCCCCTGCACCCCGACTTGTTCTGAGCGGCTCGAGGGAGGGTTTTATTAGGAAGGAGAGAAAATCGGGGACGGTGGCAAAGACTCGTTTAAAAAAATAAGGCCAAGTGGGCATCGCTGCGAGTGAGCGGCTTGGTGCTCAGCAGCACTCGAATTTATAGACCCATAGAATCGTTTAGGTTGGTAAGACCACCGAGTCCAACCGTTTCCCCAGCACTGCCAAGGCCACCACTAACCCATGTCCCCAAGCACCACATCTACACGTCTGTTAAATCCCTCCAGGGATGGGGACTCCACCGCTGCCCCGGGCAGCCTGTTCCAGTGCTCGACAACCTTTTCGGGGAGGGAATTTTTCCTAATCTCCAATCTAAACCTCCCCTGGCACAACTTGAGGCCGTTTCCTCTCGTCGTATCACTTGTTACTTGGTCCTAGTCCTGACCGTACACAGGTCTAGTACCAGCCCTGCGTTTCGGAAGGGTCTTCGGTTGATGCTGTCCGGTTGGGACCCACCGGCCCCACCGAGAAGCTGCCCTGTGCTCCGTGGTGGCACTGCCACCACTTGCCTGTCTCCTAAGGCCGCCTGGCCCTGGCTGTCTCTCTCTCCCCAGAAACCTCCCCTAGCCACCAAGCTCCTTGCAGAACTCCCCGACGAAGCCCGGGTGGTGGCCGGACGCTTCCCCTTCCCCTCCTGGACCCCCACCAGCACCCTTGGGCAGGGGCTGGATCAAGTCTGGGCCTATGATATGAAGGAGGTGCGACGAGTGGCGCAGAGCAGCGCAGAGGGAAGCCCGGTCTAACGGCGGCCTCGTTAAGCTTGGCATTAAGGGTTAGCAGCAGTGGGGGTTGGAGCTTCTCCAGCCCTTGGGCTCAGCTCAGGACAGCAGCGAGAGGGATGCTTGGCCTGGCTTTTTCTCAGGGAGATGCAGGGTGGTGGTCCCTCCAAAGAGCGGGCAGCTTGGGGGAAGCAAGGGAGGAGGGGGTAAAAAAAAATAAAAATCAGACCTAGAAACCCTGGAATTATCAGAGAATTTAAGGGCTAAATCTCCAGTGCCTCTTTCTGTACATTTGTCACTTTATTTCTAGTTAATTTTTCAAAATAAACATTTGGACGGTTTTTCCTTTGAGACATTTGCTTTGCCTTTGAGCCGCAGGGTGCTCCTGGAGCCAGAGCAGCTGCCGCTCCCGGCCTCGGGCTTTGCTCCGCCGTCCCTTTGAAGGCGGCTCAGGAGGGAGTTTGTCCAGCTCACCTCCCGCTGAAGGATCACTTTGGCCCTGCTCACCTTACATAACATTCCCTTTTCCACTAAAAAACAGAGGAAAAAAAAGGTTTTCCCACCATAACAAAGCAGCTTACCCGCCTTGTCTAACCTCTTAGACCAAAGCTTAGCTTGAACCAGCCCTGGCCTTATCTCTTAGAAGCTGAGAAGGGAGCAAAGGCAGGAGCGGAGTTAGTCCTTGGACTCCAGCCTGGGTCTGACCCAGGTTACGCAGTGTCCTAGGAGGCGGGAACGGGATCCTGGCCCTGCAGCCCCGCAGTAAAAAGCTGCCTGGGAACCTGACCCTGTGTCCCGAGGTGCGACGTGCTCGGGGAACAGCAGAGCTCTCCCTACAGCTGAGGGGTCAGAGGATAGATGAGACGCAGTTGTCTCATCCCATTTTAGTACTGTTAATTTGAGACAGAGAACACCCACGTGGTTTCCCTTGCTGCGCCTCCCGGCTCTCAGCCGGGGAAGGATACTCGCCCTGGCCAGCCCACACAACAGAAAGCTCCTTCCTTTTAAATCCTGCTCTTTCCTGTGATCGTGCCGCTTCTCAGAGCCGTGGGGGAAGAGCTACGGTTGGTGGCTGACGGCCCTTCTGGCTCTGGGCAGCGAGTATCGGCCGCCCCGGCACTGAGCGCGCGTGGCACCTCGCTGCCGGTGAGCTTCCTCAGCCGGAGGATCTCCTGCTTGTACCTGCAACGGGGAAGCAGCACCATTATTGCCCGTGTAGTCACGATCCTGAGCGATCCATTTAAACGTACGCTGTGTGTTCTTGCGTTTGCTGCGTGCTAAGGACGTGTGGTGCCAGTTAATTCACCCCAGCCAGCCCGGGCACTGGGCCACGCCAGGATCTGAGCCCCAGCAGATAGAAAACCGCGGCCTTTTTCCCCGAGGAAGAGGCGTTTGTCGGCTCTGCCAGGTAACGGTACCGGCAACGAGCCTGCGAGTCTGACCCGAGTTCACAGCCGAGCTGGCTGGGGCGTTACGGCAGGCGCGGAGTTGGGCCATTGCTCTGACAGATGCGTCCTGCTTGTTCTCACCCTTCCTTGCCCGAGCAGCTCTTCCCTCTCCTTCGGGGTGCCATGAGCCCAGGAGAGAGGACCCTAGATGAGGGGCTGCCGGAAGGCTTTAGATTTTAGGCAACCCCTCTCTTAGCTCCCTCCAAAGGAGGGGTGAGCACACAGGGAAGGAGACGTGCGGCAGGGCAGGCCGGGCGCCATCCCCCCTGTGGAACAAGGGACAGTGGCAGCTGGCCACACAGCTGGACGTGCTGCGGGACATCAGCCATCAGTGGGAAGGCAGCAGCGAGGTCAGGCGCCGACAGCGCGGCGGGCATGGCGATGTCACTGACAATTAGCCTGGGAGATAAACTTGGAGCACAAAGCAGAGAACACGTGAAGGGGGATGCTACCATCTCACCTTGCAAGATGCTTATCTATGTATTCCTGCAGCTCCGACACCTGCTCTTCTGCCACGACCGCCCGAGTCAGCAGCTGGCTTCTCTCCTGCTCCAAATCCTCCTGGAGGGGCAAGGAAACATGGAGAAAACAGGGAGCTCCGTGAGATGGGAGGGAAGTCCCTCTCTGCTAGGCGAGACCAACCTCTTCCCCGTCACTCAGCTCCGGCACCTTTTGGCCACAAAGACAGACAAAATTTAGGTGTTTTGCTTTACGTGACCGGAGAAGGGTGGACAGAGGAAGGCACGACTGGTAACACGTCTATAGCCTTGTCTACAGCAGAAAGCGGAACCCCTGCTCCGTTTGCAAAGCCCTTTCCCGGCGTGCGGCAGTCAGCGTGGCAGGGATCCCCGCGCCAACCCCTCTCCCCAGCAGCTCCTATTGCTGCCGCCACTGCTGGACGGCAAACCCCCTCCACGCAAGCATCACCACGGTTTCGTGGGTGCTGCAGGGCAGCGTTGCGGATGGAGAGAGCTCTCCTCCCAGCTCTGGGCCACCCCATTCCCAAGTAGGGTGCAAATATCCTTGCGCTCGGGGGGAACCAGACTGGGAAGCTGATTCAGATTTAAACTAGACTTGAACCAGGTCGAATACAGTCCCGGTTTGTTATACAGATGCCTGAACGCTTGTGCTGAAACAAGGGAGGGGTCAGTACACTCCAGCAAGGACTTCTTTCAGTAGGAGCGACAGCACAGCCTCGATACACCACTGGCCGGGGACCTGGCAGTGTCACCAGGCGGGCCGAGGCCAAAGCCAAAGCCAGGCTCCGTGGAAAGCTTCCCCGCTCCCGCCTGGAGCAGGCGTTGGCCCCAGGGCAGCACATCTTTGACATGTGGGTAAGGGATAAGCTTTTTTTTTTTTCCCCGACGGGCCGTTCCAGACCTTTACCTGGGTGGTGCGTGCGAACTCCCGGAGCTGCTTCCTGACCTCTGCCCAGCCCTCCTCACCCAGCTGCCTAGGAGAGAGAAGCAGATTTCGTTCATGCCCAGACGTTCAAATCCAGCCCATCCGCAGGTCACACAGCTCTGTTCAGGGGCTGGACATAACTCATGTCCATCAGACCATAAACCCCAATGCTCTGAACCTTTTTCTCTCCCGATGCCCCGTCCCTGTGTCCAGGCACGAGAGTCACAACCCTTCTGCCAACCTGGGATTCCCCGCCGCGAGGGCTGGGTTTGTTCCAAGTTCACATCAACACTCATACATCAGAGGACTCCATGCAGAAAGAGTCCTTAACCTGACACCGCAGGACTGAACTAGATGGAAACAGAGAGCGATCAATGCCAAACGCTGGCGCTTTTCATGTTTCTGAGCATAAACCAGCCTGTGCTGGTCGCCGAGCACGATAGGTGAGCTGTCTGTGCGGCCCAGCCGTGGGAAAGTTCTTCCTATTCTGTCCCAGTCTGAATAAGCAAAAAACAGGTCACATCTGATGCTCGGGGAACTTGGATTGTATGGAGGGAGGAATGCTTTGTGCTCAAGAGCGGCTCTGCTGCGACTGCCAGAGTTCCCTCTGGTGGCTGCAACCTCCCGGCCCAGGCACACGGGAAATCGTGGCTGAGATTTCGTGGGAGCAGAAGCAAAGAGAACAATAAACAGTGAAGCCGCACAACTGATAAAGAGGAGAAGCAGCAGGAGGTATAGCTGAAGTGCTGCGCTAACACCGGGCTTGGTGTCTCTAGCGAGAGGAACACGGTAAGAGCATGGATAAACCCATCAGCACATGGCAAGCAAGCCAAGTGTGCAGAGTCTCGTGGCAGCTAAAAAAAACCAACCCAAAACACCTTAACAACAAGATGCATCACTAAAATTCAGGTTCTGGTCTTTCTGTGTCTTGCTCCTGCGGTGAATCTGCCACATTTAACGCATCTATTCAAAGACTACTAGTACTTTTCAGTGCACGGCAGAGGCTGGTTAAGGCTCAAGCTTTTCTCCGAGGACTCCTCCGGAGCCCAGCGGCTCAGGCACTGGCCGACTCCTCAGTGCTGGCATCCAGTTAATGAAATACCTGACGTGTTTTCTAGGCTACCACATTTTAAACGGCTGAAAAATCCCAGCTCAGATTTTTCCTACGTTTTGTACCACCTCTCCGCAGCTATAGTTGGTAAGAGCTTCAACGGAATAATGGAACAGGGGGAAGAGACCCATCAAAAATGAGCCAATAAAGGGCACATCAGGAAGGCAGGGTCACCTAAGGGTTCCAGCCCAGCTTCTGGGAGGGAGGAGAAACAAGACCATCCCAAACTGGTGGCGTTTCACTTGCCTTTCTCAGGTTGTGATCCACCAAAGCACTCGGGCGTATGCTAAACTTCAGCTTCTAAAGAGATCAGCGAGACTAAAAACATGATTAAATCAAACATGTGCTTAAGAGCTTTCTTGGATCAAGGCCCAAATGACCAACTCATTTCACCGCAGGAAGCGCTGCACTGAGATGACAGCTGGCTTTTCTTCTCGAATGAGTCCCTATCAGCTCACTTTCTCCCTATTTATTACTGGCTCCAAGTAAAGCAGAAAAATGCTCCTCAATCCTCACGGGAGGGAGAATTCATAATTACAAATATCCCGAGAAACAAACAGCACTTACTGCTCAGGGGACAGCAGAAAGCCAGAGGTTTCTTTACGTCTTTTCTGAAGGCAAAGGAAGAACAGTATTCCTGTAAGCATTAAACCATTGCGATCCCACCACAGTGGCAGAGCATATCCTAGCGCTCTAGCAGCCACCAGTGCCCTGGCAAGGAAATGATGTGCAGGACAATCTGAAGGTTTAGGTCTCCTATGCTCTGAATTTTTAAATAAGTGCATCTTGCACAAATCTCTGCCCAGGCAGATCCAGTGGGAGGACGGGAGCTGACTGGCGTGTTTCTGAGTGCGGTCTCCTGCTCAGTTAGCTATTCATGCTAGGTGAAGGCATGAATCCTCCCTTACTCGCTGCTGCTTTCAGCAGGGAGCGAGTCTGCTGGCCTGGCAGCTCTCCCATAGCATCTGCTACTCCTCAGCCCTCCCAGAGCTCAGCGACCCCAATCTATGGGGCTGCCCGGCCTCCTGGATCTAACTGTAACTCGCCCCTACGCAGCAGGGTTGAAGCAATGGGAGGTCTGCTTAGACATCCCATCTCTTCTCAAAATCTCCCATGCCACGGCGATACCACAAACCCTCAGGGAACGCCTAAGGAAGGGGCCGGACCTATTGCCTGCGAGACTCTCCCCACCGCCCCCCGGTTTCACCCCCACAGCCAGCCAGCAGCCCAGCCACCACCTTCTGCAATTCATGTAACTGCATCTCCAGTTTTGCTTTCTCCTCCCGCAGACGGTTTAGCTCCCGGGTTGTGTTTGTCAGCAGCTCTGGGTCTGTGATGGAAAAGTGGAGCTCGGCAGGGCCGCAATCCGTATTGCTGCTGCCCAAGGACCGGATCTGTTCTCGCTGGAGCCTGTAACATGCCAGAGGGGTTTTGTCCCTGGTAGCTTTGGTTAGGTAACACCACCGAGCATTTCTGCTGCTGCTGGAGGTACCGTTCGCTTGGGACCTGCTGGCTTCTGGCCACCGAGAGCCAGTCCACCTGCAAAGGCTAAGTGGGAGAGCCCAGCAGTATGCATGATATTCCTGGGAGTGTTTCTGAGGGGAGCTTGTCCTGGAGCTATTTGTGGCTTTTATGCCACAAGAATTTCTGCTGCTTCCCACAGCCCAAGCTGCTGAGAGAGCTGTGGAGCAGAGCTGAGAGCACTGCAGGGACAAGCTGGGAGAAAGGAGTTATTTGTGGTACCTCTGCATTGCCACACCATCCAACGTGGAATCAATCTGTCACCCTAAATTTTACACAGGAGAAACATATGCGCAAAGCAGGGTGTCCAGAGCACTCTGCTGTGTAGCTGGAGACTCCTTGCTCCTGGCTTGTGAAGAGCAGGGAGATAAACATGCACTCCAGATCCTCCGCTCCACCCGGGAGCCCCGTTTGCCTCCCTCTCAGCCAGGGGACTGGGTGCTATGGGGTACTTCCGCTTGGTCCTTAGCAATAAGCTGAAGAAACAGAGGTAGCCCAGACCCTGGCTTAACCCTACCCGTACGCAATCAGCAGGTTCTCGTGCTTCTTGACCAAGTTCTTCATGCGCTTCTTGTAGCCACGTGCCGCTCCAGCTAGCTGCTCTTCCCGAGACTTGTAGGAAGCCCTGATCTCCTTCAGCATGCTGTCCACAAAGCGTTTCATGTCAGCATGATCAGCTGGGGCTTTGCTAGGCCCCGTTACGTTGCTGGATTTGCTGTCCATGTAGTCCTTTAAACATACGGAGAAAGAAATCGAGGTGATCAAGTCATTCCCTGAGGCGCATAACCCATTTCCCACAGCGAAGGTCCAGGCGTAGTTGTGCTAACAGCACAGAGAATACGGAATATCTTCCATTTCCTAAGAGCAGGAAAGACTGATTATCTTCCTTCATGCCCCTTCAAGACAGAGAAGGCATCTGTACTGTATCAGTGACCTGCCTAGGGAAACACAAGTTGGTGTCAGGACTTACTGTCTCTAGCCTCATATTCTTTCCACCGTGCCCTACTCTCTTAGCTAGTTAGGAGATGCTTCAACATCGCTCTGTTAGAAATTAAACTATTCCTAATAGTAAAAATTGCTTTGCTTAGTCTCCTGATCCGTCACCACACTGTGTTCTTCAGTACCAGCCTTCTCCCAGCACAGAAGCTCTTGCCAAAACCTGCTTACTGCTATCTGAGGGGGTAGAAAGAGATTTCTTCCACTCTGCATGGCTCAATATAATCAATATAATCAATATAATCAGGTATCCGCGCCTGAACCTCCCCGAAACGCCTGCCTTGTGCCGAGTCCTCACCACGCTCTGCGAGCTCTACTCTACGTCAGAGGTGCTTGTTCCCAGAGCAGGTCCCAGGCACCGGCGTTACCCGGCTCTGTAGCCGACCACGGAGGCTGGCAGAGCTCCCTGCCGGGACAGCAGCAGAGTCACCGTGGAGGCGGCGACAAAGCCAGAAGTGGCATCGCCCGGCCTGCCGAGGGAAGTTGTCAGGGCAATGGAGATTACAAGCCAACTGGAAGGCAGCCATTGTAAATAAGGAGATCTTTCAATCCAAGTAATCTGACCAAGGAAGAAAGTCCCGGCGGAAACTCACGGACCCTTTAGTGTGGCCATACAGGAAATCTGGGCGAGGAGGGGGGCCAGCATCTCCTCTGCCAGGCCAAGCTGAGGGCACAGAGCCCCCTTCCAGCTGCAAGCGTGGCTCCCCACGCCCCACCGGCTCCCCAAGCCCCACCGCCTGCTCGGCAGCCCAGCAAGGAGGAGAAACAGCAGCAGCCTACAAGAAGTCGGCAGCCAGCACGGAGAGACCTCCCCAGGCCAGGAGAGGGCTGGGGGTACCCACCGCCACATCCTTGATGTACTGAGCGAGCCGGGAGCGATATTCCTCGTTCAGCTCCTTCAGTCGGAGCTGCAGCCGGGAGTTCTCTGCCTCCACCTCTTGGAGCTGGCTCTGGGAGGTGAGCAGCACCTAGGCACAGCAAACACAGGCGCTGCTGCCCTCGTCCTCCGGCCAAGCCAGGGGCACTAAGAAGCTCCATAAGAGATGCGGGACTTCATTTCCAGGTATTCAGCTTCACTAGAGCTGGGAAGGTCCTGGGTTTTCACAGGAGCCCACAGAAAATGTTTATAGTCTCTATTCCCCTGCTACCTCCTGTCATTTGCAATCCCTCCCCCCCCAGTGATTTCACCAGCCCTTTCTAAATATCAGCGAATAAAATTCCTCCCACCACCTGTGGCAAGCAGCACCTTCCACCACGTACATCGCACCCCTGGAGAAGGAAACAGCGCAGGGAGAATTACCTTGATGTGACAAACTCCCTGGAGAGGAAAACGTGTCGGAGCACCTTAATGCAAGACATCCACCCCCTGCTAGCTCCAGGAGAAGCACATGGCACCCAGGAGGAGCGGATGAGCGGGGGCAGTCCTGGGTGCTGGGGGCTGAAAGGGAGCCTGGCCTTACCGCTGACTGCTGTGCCAGCTTGTGCTGGGTGTCCCCAATCGCTCCCCTTGCCTCCTGCAGCTCCTTCCCCATTGCGATCCTGGGCACACAGGAAGAAGGTGCGTTTATTTGAAACCCCCAAACTTCTCTGTAGGTCCAATACAGCCAGCTTTGAGAAGGAAATCACTCTGGGATGACAGAAATCTCTCAGCAGCAGCTGCCAGCCCCCCATCTCCCAGCCAAAGGCAAAGGAACTCCCTAGGCAGAGGGTCTAGGTCTCCAGCACCCCTTTGCCGGGACACCGACCCCAGCCCAGCCTGGGGGGGTGAGGGCTAGGGCTGGGTCCATCTCTGGGCTGCCACACATTTGCCGTGTGTGTCACAGAAGGTGGATTTTCAGAGGTGCATAGGCCAGTCGGGTACCTAAACACCACTGACTTTTAAGCAGATGTCTGACCCTCTTAAGAGCCTTGAAAACATCAGTTTTGGCTTCCAGGCCTCACTTGCTCCAAGGGTGAGCCGTCATTTTCCACCCTGTACCCCACTGAAGGCAGGCTGCCTCCTCTCCTGATCCCAAGGATGAAATTCAGCTGCAACGAGCTCCATAAATGCCCAGCCAAACAGAAGGACGTGCCCTCGAACACTCACACTCTCTCTTCCAGCTTCTGCTGCTGCGAATCATAGGTTTTCTTCAGTTTTTCAAGCTCCGCTTTTATGTGATCCTGGTTTCCAAGCAACTGAGGGACAAACGAAGAGGAAGATGAGACAGAGGACTGAGCTAAGAGGGATTCGTGACCGGGGAGGAAGTGAGGAGAGCCTCCCACTGACCACCAGTCGAACTGACCAGTGGCATACTGGGGAAAGGACAGGTTTAACTGGGAGTGACTGTAGCACACCGGAAGCGGTGCGTGCTCTGGAGACAGGGCACGCGGAGGCGTACACGTGTTGTTCCCCCAAGGGAGAGTCTTGCTCTGAGAGTCAGATTCCCAGCAGGAGCCCAAGCTGGTATCGCCTGGGCTGCAGATGGGAAGGAGGCAGGGAGCATCTCTGCTCTCAGTTTTGGGTGCTTTATCACCCCCATCTTTCTCAAGTATTGGAAAGGAGAAAATAAGCAAGTGTCCTCTGCACTTGTTGCCTTCTAAACTACTGCCTCTGTTCACCCGGGGGCACTGGCGGAGGGAACCACAGCTGCCCTCTCTCAGTTTTTGCCTGCACGAGATCTGGAGTTATTTTAGTCTCATTTTTCAACTGCGCAGCTTAAAAATTTTTTAAAAGAAATCCAGGCGTCAGCTCATCCGCAAAATTCAAGTTAGCACCAGGAGGTGCCAGCCACACTCTGAATAAATTTCCCCTCTGCTTCCCCAAGGATCCAGCAGCAGACCCCCACACACTCACGTTTCTCTCCAGCATTTGCCGCTCGTGTTCAGATGCAACTACATCTTCTGGCTGGTTTTAGTAAGAGACAGAAGAAGGTGCCTGTTAGATCCCTGTTCTCCAAAGAGCTAGTGACAGGGCACGGAGGTCCTTACCTTCACCTTCCGAGCCGAGAGACGGCGCACCGTTGTTTGCAGAGGCTTCATCGGCCATGGCGGGGACGCGGTTGCTCTCTGTGCGGGGAAGGGTGCTCCTGGCATTGGCCAGGTTGAGCAGCTCTAGGCTGAGCTCTTCATTCTTCATGACCTGCCAGGTCAAACAAGAAGGAAAGAGCTTCTGAAATCCTGCCTCTCCGGCTCCACACGCTGTCTGTTCAGCACATACCCGCTGCTCTTGGTGTGTACACAAGGCAGGCACTCATGTCCCCTCCTAAAAGCAAGTTTTCTTTGGACATATGAGAGAGAACTAAAAAGAAATCAGTGATTTTCTAATTCTCATGGAAATGCAGGGTAAGTGTCATCGCCAGGCGTCAGGATTATTCACGTGTAACCTTACTCCCTCTGCCCATCTCGCTCTCGCATTCAGATACAGCTCCCGGTGCCGGCCCAGCCCTGGGCACAGCTCCGCCACCTCCTCTCCATCCTGACCTCCAGCCTCCCTCCCCGCTCCAACCCCGTACCCTCCGCACAGCTTCCCGACACTTCAGGCACGTCTTTCCCCGTCCGATGGCTTTGAACAGTGCTGGACTCCATCATGTAAGAGAAGGGCCAAATCTCCATCCATCTAGGCTGACGCCACCCAGCTAATTCCAGTTTTGTTTGAATGCATCCCTCCAGCAGCAGCCAGCCCACAGCACCGTGTAGGCAGCGAGATTCAAAGCGGTGCCGAAGTGACACATTTCCAAAAGATAAAGAGGATCTGAATGAGAAAGGCTCTGTTACAGGTGATCTGGAAGGAACACTGGGGGAATTCATGTCTCACGGGAGGGTTTCTATGTAGATAACAAAGCTTTGATGGGGTTTATGACTGGGGACAAGCTTGAGTAATTGTTACCATGGCAGTGAATCGGGAGGATGGGAGGCAGAGGTCATCTGAGTCATCCGTGGAGAGAATAGCTTATCAAAAGATAGCACAGGGTGGGCTGAGGGAGAGAGGAGAGGAGAAAAGAGGCTGACAAAGAGGTGAGATATACAGCTGTGAAAACTGACAGCTACGCAGAGACAGGCTGCTTGTTCTCCAACCGAAAACGATCCATCTGCAGCTGTCAGCCCTGACAATTTGATCAGAGGGGGTCACACAGGCGCAGAAGTACCAGCTTAGCGAAAGAAAGAGCCGGGCCCAGGTTTGCGACGGGCTTCGCTGCCTCCCCTGAGCTCCCAAGCCTGGCACGGCTCCAGGGAAAACCCCGGCGTGGAACCGGTTCGCAGGCATTTGGGTTCCCTCTGACTGCCTCACTTTGTACCGCCGATGCAGACGGCGTTAAGCCTGCCGAACAAAAGAGGAGGAGGAAACGAAGAGTCGAGGAAAGGTCAGAGTCTTGAAAAGGAAGAATTTACAGCGAGTTAGAAAACAGGCACAAAGTGACTGGCATCTTCTGGAAGGCACTTCCCCAGGGACAGGCAAGGCCAGCTCCGCCGCGCTCCTTCGCCTGGGACAGACACGGGGCGATGTGTGAATCGAGCCGTACAATGGGGGCCGTGACAATTCAGAGGCTCTAACTGTTCCCGTACAAGGGACCGTGAATGAGCTTGCCGAGCTGCTTCTGCGCCAAGCAGCCATGACAACATATTGGCAAGGTCACAAGTAGCACTTGTAATTGGGAATGTGTAAAAGGTTCATTGTCTCCCCAGAAGAGCGCCGGGGAAGGGGAGGGGGCAGAACCGCAGGCTGCTTTTCCCGTTTCCTTTGGGAAAGGCCACACTGGAAAAATAATGAGCAAGAGGCCCATGCCGTGACAAGTCCCAACCTGCCAAGTTGGAGCCTCTCTTGCTTCAGGCAAGGATATTGGGTAGTCAGAGCCAAGAAACAAGGGTAAAATAAATCCTCAGCCTGTGAATTACAACCAAGGAGTTTGCCTTTGGCTTCTGGACCCTGCTCCGCTTCTTCAGGATGCTATCCAGGCACGTAACTGAATCCACGTGCTTTCACTCCCTGAAAGATTCCAGGATCCATGCGAAAACAGGGCGTTATTACCACCAACCTGCTAAACCCATCATTTAAGAGATGTCAACCACCTGAAAATCCGATTTTTGACAAACATATTGCACCCCCTTGGGGACAAGAAGCACCAAAGATTGCTGAACACCGAGCTGTTCCTCCGCTGCCTGGCGGTAGCGTGTCTCAGCAGCGTGCTGCCTTGCTGACAGTCAGCTGCACGCGCTCTGCCTCATGCTCCGGCAGGATGATGGGGTGGCTTCACACCCCTGCAAGCAGCTGAGCTTGCCTCCTCGTAAAGAAATTTCCGTTTTTCAGCTTACGGCAGGTAAATGATAGCTTCACAAGAGTTACTAACTCACTTATTTGCAACAGGATGATCACGACCTCGTCTCCTCCTCTACCGGAGCTCTGCAGATGGATGGTCACAGTAAAGAGAGTCGGGACACTGCCTAAACCAGCCCCACATTTTCCCATCACAGCTCTGTGCAGGGCCGGCACGGTAAACCAGGTCATTTGGCTGAACCAGCTGAACTATCTGCCGGGGGAGGGAGGCTGGAGGGTGTCAGTCATCTGAACCAATTCAAAAAGAAGAAGTGGGAGGGAGGAGAGGGAGGGAAGAGAGGAAGGTCTATTGAAATAGCTCTTCTTGCCAAAGAAATACACAAATCTGGGTCCAAAAGACTTTAGCTAATAATCACTAAGCTAAGAGTCACCAGGAAATTCACTATATTTTAAGGGACAATCAGAAACTTGCTTACGTTCAAGCGTTTCTATAAACTTGTCGACCTCAAAAACTTCCAGGCCCCTTCCCGCCAGCACACGAAATGAGAGCGACTACACTCAGTTCACGTGCAGCCTGCGCAAGCCGTGCAGAAACAAAAGGGAAACAAAGCGTGCTGGCGGTCGCGAGGGACCCGCAACGGGCACTCGGACCAGCCCCGCAGTGACCTCCTCGTTACTGCTAGCGAGGGGGATCCGGGGTGGCGTAAAAAGAGAGAGACTCTGACAGCGGCGTGCCCAGAAGAGCACAGCACACGGGACAGCGTGGGCTCAGCACCGTCCCTGCTGAGCAGAGCAGGTTCTGCGAGCCCTGCTAGAAGGTGACCACGTTTCAGGAAATTCCTGGGCCCCAAAAGCAAAATAACTGCGCCCAAGCTATGCTGTCTCACAGCTGACCCGAGCTGTGACGTGGATACGTAACCCAAAGCCAACCAAGCTGTCTGGAGATCAGGTAACTGGGAGATGGAGCCTGTCTCACCTCCTGCTCCAGTTCTTTGCCTAGGGCGAGGTAATTGCTTTTCAGAATGATGTACTCATCCGCCAGCTCCTTCCGACTGCTCTCCAGAGCATGCAGGCGTTCCCGTAAGGCATCTCGCTCCCCAGTGACTTTCTCGCTGCAGAGCTCCAGCTCCAGCACACGGTTCTCCAGGGCCAGGATCTGCAGTGAGGAGGCAGCAGAATTAGACTGTGGCAGAGACCAGCAGCAATCACAGGGCATTTATTTGGCCAAACTGGTTCTGGCACACGATGACTTAAAGAGAGATGAGTTTCACATGAGTTTTATGGTATCTGGGGAATCGGGAGGGATTCATTGCTCTAGTTAAAGCCAGGAGAATACACCAAGCAAAGCAAAGACGGATGCGTAACGAACTGCGGTTCTGGATAAAGGTATTGGCAGAGCTGAATCAACTCTACTTCAAACTTTTGGATACCATATTTTTCAGTTCAAAGTTCTCCGTCTCATACTGCTCCTTCATTTTGTTTGTCTTGATCTGCAGATCAACAAGGTCTTTGGAAATCTAGGAGAGAGAAAGGACATTCTAAAGGCCATGGGCTGATTCTGAGGCCAACACACTGTTTCAGCAGGTCACACCAGGGGATGTGAGCACAACACACACCCCTCTAGAAAGAGGCCCCAACATTTCCCACCAGATTTTCCATTCCAGATCTACCAGCCTCATACGGCTTCATGGCTCAGTTTTCTCTAACTCCTAAAATATTTGTTTTACCTTCAGTCTTTCCTCTTCACTGAAGACCACTTTGGCTGACAAATCTGTTTTGGAGCCAGCCAGCTTCTCCATCCTCTCCTGCAGGTCTCCAAGCCGGTACAGCCTCTCGCTCCTATCCTGCACCTAGAGACACACCACAGCCCCGACAGCGGGTGCCAGCCCACAGAGCCCTCCTCTCTCACCGCAGTGCCGGTGGAAGAGCACGGCTCATCCAGTTTTGCAGAGCCTGAACAGATTGTAGATGGGATTTTCAGCTGCTGTTTCCCCCCCTGCAATTAGGATTTCGTTTCCAGAGCGCTGGTTCCACGACCCGGGAAGGGGCTGCAGTCTGTCATACTTATGTATTCGTTAGCAAGATGCTGCACGTGCTCTGTCAGAGTACTTACGTTCTCGTGCTCTGCAAAATCCATGCACCTGGAGTCCGGGATCTTTGCACAATATCAGGCGGGCAGTGGCTGAAGAGCAAAGGAAGGATCTAAGGATCTCTATGGCAGCAACTTTTCCCCCCGAGGAAGGGCACAGGCAATGTTGCTAACAACTTTGGTTACCAGTGGGTGCAGCATCCACCTTGATTTTAAGGTGGAGCCAATTATTACAGCCACCCCAGGAAAAGAAATTACATTTCTCAGGAGGTTTCTGTGTTCCTGAAACAAGAAGCTTAGCAGACACCACCAGTGAAGCAATATTGCTAGCTAGGAGGTACCACTCCATCTCTATTATGGACCGTTCCCAAAACCTGGCTGTAGGGGTGGCCTCCACCTCTGTTGCAGGGATCTTTAGAGACTTTAAGATCTGATTAACCCATTAATTAATCCATTAATCCAACATTCTGCTCCAAGACCATCCAGTAGCATCTAATATCAACTTAATTCCAGGCAATTTTCTCTTGATCTCTCCAGTCCCTGTATCAACGAACCATCCAACAGGCACCAGGGTCTTGACCTCTGACCAAGCCACAGCTGGTGACAGGAAAGCCCTTCCCCAATTTATCCCGTTGCATCAGAGATGCTACGTGGAAAAATACAAGTTTTAAAGCAAAACACACCGAAACAAAGTCTGATTAGCCCAGAGAGTGCTACATCTGGATTGTGCTGGTCTACACACAGCCGCTGACTCCACCCGGTGACCATCCAGGCCTGAACGGGACAACTCCCCCAGTGCGTGCAAAGCTAAAAGTACTCGAACAGAGTCTCTGACGTAAGAACGAGGGTAACGGAGAGCGTAAGGCGTGGTGGACAATGCTGCAAGACCTTGGTGAACAGCAGCCATGGGGTAAAACAAACGCCAGTTCTTAATCTCCTCATTTCAGGCATATTATCACTGCTATTTCTGTTGAGCGGGTGAGTTTAGGTAAGAACTTATCTCTTACAGAAGAAAAAGCTTTGACAATATAACGTTCAAAAAGACGGTAGTGCTGAACAACTTCTTAGTATCTGTCAAAGCTAAGGGGATGGGAGAGGGGCCATCCTGCTAGAAGCTCGGTGCTGAGCAGAGTTTCCCAGCTCCTCACCTGGCCCAGGCTCTCAGAGAAGATCCCGTAGCCCCTTGATGTGGATTTCACGAATGGCCATGGAAGCGAGACTCAGGGGGTGAGCTCTTTTGGGGCTCGGGGGAAGGAGAAGCTAACGAAACATGCAATTATGTCTTATTTTTCTGCAAGAGAACTGAACAGACCTGAAGTAATTTTATTAAGGTAATGAAGCGCTGATGAGAATTCACAGTCTCTTCACACCCACTGCCGAGCAGAAAGCCAAATTCACACACCGCCCACAGCACCGGTGGGGGCCTGGAAGTCTCCGGCGG